AATCAGCAGGAGTCAATCGACAAACAAAATTCCATCTGCCTACAATGCAATAATGGGACGTCCTTGGATTCATGATATGAAAGCGGTACTGTCGACTCTTCATCAGTCCATCAAGTTTGCCACTCCACGGGGAGTGCAGATCAGAGGAGAACAAGAACATTCTCATTCATGTTATCAAATGACATTGTAGGGAAAGGGTCAGTGGTTATAGCAATTACAGAGCCCACCAACGGCACCCCACAGTGAAGAGCCGGAGGTGGAGCAGTTTGATGAGGTTCCGCTAGTAGAGGGTGAACCTGACAGAAAAGTGAACATAGGCGCGAAGCTACCGACGGACATACGGATACATTGGTAACGTCACTTCTCCCATAGTATACTTCACCTCACCGCTGAATCCTACCAAGAGTGTCGATTTCCTTGTTAGCTCATATTCGTTAAGCCCCAGCTCGGTAAATGCATGGATGAAGAGGATGTTCGTCGAGCTGCTAGTGTCGATTAGTATTCTCTTCATCAAGCAATTAGCCTTCGTTAGAGATATCACAAGTGCGTCATGATGTGGAGCTAGCACTTCCTTGCTTTCGTCGAATGTGAAGGTAATAGCGCATATCGATGAAGCTCCAGCTCTGACATCGCTTCTCGGCTGATGCTTCCTTGCACTTCTTATATTTTTCTTAGCAGCTGAATGTGTTATACCACTGACTTTCGAACCTCTCGAAATTACATTAATAGTCCAGTCGTGCTTCGGGGGTGAAGTAGGTACAAGCTTCTTTGGTGCTTTGTCCTCATTCCTCTTGTCGTAACGATTTCTTTCCTTATCAGACAGAAATTCACGTAAGTAACCTTTCTTTAGGAGTTCATTCACCTCCATTCTCAAGGAGATGCAATCTTCAGTTCGGTGACGATGATCCTTATGAAATTCACTATTTTGGAGTATCACATTGATCACCAGGTATTCTTATCTTCTGAGGCCATCTTACTTTTTTGACCAACTCTCCAACAGAGATTGACGTATTTGTTATGTCTGGCCACGTTGTAGATTGTCGCTTCTCACTGTCATTCTTGTTGAATGGTCGGTGATTACTTCTGCTATCGCTTCTGCTAATACTACTCTCATTACGAGGTCTCTAGTAAGGTTTATCGTCTCTGGTGGCTCTCTCATTCTTTTCCACTCGTGACTCGCTACGCGGGGAACTTTGGTAGTGATAAGCGGGATCTTCCTCCCACTTAATCTGCGCC